AGGGGAGAGGGAGAGAAGGAGAGAGCAGAGACAGAGATACCTTAAGATCTTCCACCCACTGATTCACACCCCAGATGGCCAAAATGGCCAGGACTGGGCCAGGCCAAAGCCAGGCGCCAGGAGCTTCCACAGGTCTCCCAGTGGGTGCAGGGGCCCAAGCACTAGGGCCATCCTCCACTGCTTTGCTGATGCTGCAGACAATGGCCTAACCCATAGTGCCGGCCCCTATCATAAGCTTTGTAAAACATTAGTGGGTAGCGTTAACTGAAACACTCTCCAAGTCCTGCCTTCCTGAAGTGTAGGGGGCTGACTGACGCTGGGGGCCACCTGGGGAGGGCTGGGCCTTGGACTTCCTGTTCAGCAGCGCATGATTCAGGTGTCTTTGAACTTGGGTGCGTGCTCAGAGGCCCCGGCTTCTCGTTTCCCGGCTCAGCTACGAGGCCCCTGGTCTGCTTGCCAGCTCTCTCGCATTGCGCCCTTGCCCTCTGTGTCCAGTCTGTCTGTCCTCTGCTGCTTAAGGCAGTGCCACCTGTCTAAGCCTTCACACACCAAGAAGGCCAAACGAGGGCGCAGATTTCCCTGCTTGGGGGAACAAATGTGTCTGCAAAATTTGCCAATCAGATCAATGAAATTAGAGGATTCTGTTTCCTGTACACCTAACAGGAAGTCAGAGAAAGTGTGTGATCAGGAAAAGATGTAATTAAAGAAAACCGATGAGAGTATAACTTGTCAAATTATATAAAGAAACACAATATTAAAACTTCAACAGTGAGTCTCAGATTATCAGTTAGGAACTTACATTACCCAAGTAATAAATCACCAAGTGACACAAACTGTAAGGAGAAACCTAGGGTAGCCTGACAGGGCCTAACAGACCCTGCACTAGCAACGGCAGGTGCACTGTGGCCTGGGGTGGCCCTAGCAATGGCAGGTGCACTGTGGCATAGGATGGCCCTAGCGACAGCAGGTGCACTGTGGCCGAGGGTGGCCCTAGCAATGGCAGGTACACTGTGGCCTGGGGTGGCCCTAGTGTCAGCAGGTGCCACTGTGGCCTGGGGTGGCCCTAGCATCGGCAGGTGCACTGTGGCCTGGGGTGGCCCTGGCAGCAGGGTGAATCTGTCTGGTGTGAGCCCAGCAGCCGCCCTCCGTCCTCACCTCTCCGCTCTTGCTGCTCCAGCAGCACCCTGCCCGCCCCCCGGCCGTATTCCCGTGGGCCCTGTCATGTGCGAGCCAGGTGCTGTGTTTCAGGACACCTCCTCCATCCTCTGCTGGCTTGAGCCTCTCCCGCAGTCTGCCTCGCGCTGTGACTGCTGTGACTGCTTCTCCCGTGAACTTGTCTTTTACGTCTTTGCGCCTCCTCGCTCCTCAGCCCTGAGCCGAGAGCACTGATGTTCAGGGACATCTCAACAAAGTTAGGCGGGACCCCAGCAGCCTCCAACCCCGGCGGCACATTCAGTGCACGGCGCCTGCCCTGCAAGCTGCCCACACCTCTGTCCCTCCTGCCACCTCCTTTCCAGGGCTCAGACTGAGGGAGCAGCCCCCAGGCCCACGGGCCAGTCTGGAGGCTGTGGGAAAAGGGAAGGCAGCAGCCCTATAACCACCCAGAGGCAGAGGTAGTCTGGCCTCCTGTCCCTTCTGCTGCCACGTGATGGGCCACAGTGAATGATAGAGACACCCCAGGGTCAGAACTAGGGGAGGTTCTCCCAGAGGAAGGCAACGGCAGGTCACACGGGCACACCCCTGTCCCCAGGTGAGACAGATCACACACACACACACACGCACATGAATGAATGACAGCTCTGAACTGACCTCTCAGTGTTTCAAAGCCTCCATGGGGCCGGCACCGCAGCTCACTAGGCTAATCCTCCACCTAGTGGCGCCGGCACACCGGGTTCTAGTCCCGGTCAGGGCGCCGGATTCTGTCCTGGTTGCCCCTCTTCCAGGCCAGCTCTCTGCTGTGGCCAGGGAGTGCAGTGGAGGATGGCCCAAGTGCTTGGGCCCTGCACCCCATGGGAGACCAGGAGAAGCACCTGGTTCCTGCCATCAGATCAGCGTGGTGCGCCAGCCGCAGCACGGCGGCCATTGGAGGGTGAACCAAATGGCAAAAGGAAGACTTTTCTCTCTGTCTCTCTCTCACTGTCCACTCTGCCTGTCAAAAAATAAAAAAGAAAAGAAAAGAATTATCACAATGCACTGTGATTACAGCTATGTGGTATTGCCCTGCTCCCCACCCCCACTTAATGATTTTGGACCTCCCAAAGCCTCTGCTCAGGGCCCAGAGGCATAGCTCAGGTTCACCCCTGTCTGGTGGGATATGAAGTTAGGGGCCGTGGGCTGGCGCTGTCCACTCATCAGCAAAAGTCTGACCAAGTCCGAGGTAGCCGCCGTTTGGCTGCTTGCTGGTCCAGCCACAGCGGGCGGCCCACCTCAGGGACAGCAAGCCTGCCCAGGGGTCGAGTGAGGTGAGCAAGCCTTGCTCTGACTGCTCTGCGGGGCTCCCAGCAGTCCAGCCCACCCCTTCCTTACAGAGGCAAGAGAGCCACACCGCAGCCCAGCTCAGCTCACAGCACCCAACTCCACAGGGCTCCCTAGCCAGTCACCCAGAAATAGGGAGTTCCGGAAAGTTCCGGAAAGTTCTGGAATTCCACCACAGCCATCAGCTGCAGGGTGCCTGTAGAAGTCCCTGAAGTTTCTCCGTCACTGCCCTAATGAGATGCAGGAGCAATCAGGCAGGGACCGAGCTCTGTGACGGCCAGAGACACCCAGAGAAGTCTGGGTGCACCTGCCCCTTCATTCCCCCTCACACCTTCCCCCCCACTCCCCCCTCAATGCTGCCTGTGGGCCACCTCCTTGTCACAGGCACCAGGCCCTGCATTTTCATGAACACGCGTGTTCTGACACCACCCCACTCTGCAGAGCCTAGAGGTAATGGCTCATCCCACAAGTCATCAGCTCCCAGACGCACCCCCTTTAGGACGAAGCAGAACTGCATTTGGGGCGGTGCACAGCCCGGCCTTCTTGGGTCGCGTTCTTCTGTTGGGGAGAGACCCGGTGGCCATCAGGAGTCACAAACTGCATCTCGAATCTGGCAAGCCATGCTTGGTGTGTGTGTAGCTTTCTCTCTTCCCTGCTTACGGCGTCAACAGAAGAATCCCTTGTTACCTGCGGTGTTTCTGTGGCATGGAGACAGAGCTGCTGGGGGTGGGGGCGTCGCAGCGTGGGGACTGCAGCACAGCTCATCGGCCCGAGCCCGTGCCAGGGGCCCTGCCGCAGACGGGGTGGGTCCAGCAGTGTCGGGGCACCGGGTCTGACCGCGTCTTTGGGAGCAGACCTTGAGGGTGTTGGGTGGGGGGGGGTAATAGCTGTGCTCAATTTTGCCTTTCACATTTTAATTGTACAACAGTAATTTTGCAATAGAGTTGCCGATGGCAAACATGCAAAAAACATTAACTTTATTTATGTTTTGGGTTATTAATGTGGCTGTTAAAATTCCTCCAGTTAGTTTTGATTGAATTGTTTTTTTGTGTGATTCTGTTGTTTAATGGAGCGGTAAATAAGAATTTCTGATAATGAGGCCGAGCATCTGTCACAACAACCTGGTGTGGGTTATTAACATTTCCATTAACGGCGGGGTGGGCAGTGATAATATGGAAACCACACAGTTAGAACAAAATAAATAGTTGGTGTCAGGCTGAGTGGGTGTTAATTACAATTTTATTCTTTGGGGGAGGGGCAGGGAAGGGGTGACTCTCGAGGTCACTGTCTCCCAAGAAGGCCTCCCCAGAGAGCCCAGCTGCCGGGCCAGGGCCCTCGGGCGGACACCGACTGTTTGAGCATCTCCCTTCGCGGTCTGCGAACACTGTCGTCCTGAGGCTGTACTCCTCGGGCCGCAGGCTGGGGCTCCGTACCAGCTGTTCCCCCCGCCGAGCCGAGAGCGCGCCCTGGAGCTGCCCTGAGCCCAGCCCAGCCCCCATGAAGGGAGCAGCTCTCGAAGCAGAGGCCAGACCAGGAGGAGGAAGCACTGGCATATAGAATCCACAGTCCAGGAGAGGCTGGCGAAACGCAGACAAGACGGAGTGCTCTCCCGCGAGCCTGCGCTCCGTGCGTCACTCACAGCTCCGGGGCTGCCCGGGGAGGTGTGGCCAAGGCGTCTTCATCAGCCACCTCTGCTTTTGCATGCACAGGGCGGCCCATGCCACACAGCACCCCAGGGCGCTCCTCCCAGGCGAGGGAAGGGATAGGAAGTGACAGCAGCGGGAGCCGGCCGTGGACTGCAATGTGGAGTACGGTCCTCAGAAGCCAGAGTCCCCCTCCTCCTTGGCGGGGCAGCTCTGTGCATCTGGACTGACCACACCCAGGGCACCTGGACTTGGGACAGCAGTGGGCATCTTTGTTTTCCGCAGCCCGTCTCTCATACTTGGCAGCTCCTTAGTCACGAATGCCAGCCTGTGTCCCGGCACCTGCAGCTCCCTCTCATCAGAGCCATGGGTGCCTCTGCAGCACCCTGAGGGCACTGGGGCCTCCGGGTGCCCCCGGCCCTGGCTGCTGTGAGCTCATAGCAGGCGTGAGAGTAGCCTGGAGCCTACGCCGCCTGTTAACCCCGTGGACCCCTCTGCCCTACCTTGCTCTGCTTACTGTACCTCAGGGTCGTCGCTTTCCTTTGCATTTCTGTATGGTTTGGACCTTTGAATTTTTCCCACCCAAGTAACCTCACCGATTAATTCCATTTTCTGTGAAATACTTCTGAAGTGCCTTCGTGTCCTGTTCTGTGTCTTTAAGAGAGTTCTTCTGGGAAGGGCGTGTGGCCTGCCCTGGTGTAAAGAGGTCACATGGCTCTTGGAGGATGGAGCCGTGATCCCGGGGGTGTGGCTGTGCCCACGACTGCCCACTCTCAGCACATGTGGTCTGTGTGGAGTGGGGCCATGTGGATGTGTGGGTGGGGTCTTGGCCGCCTCCTCCAGGGACATCCCAGTTACCGTCACCTGCTGTTCTTTCCTCAGCCCCAGCGATGGCCCCGCAGAACGTCCAGGTGACCCCGCTCACGGCCAGCCAGCTGGAGGTCACGTGGGACCCGCCGCCCCTGGAGAGCCAGAACGGAATCATCCAGGGCTACAAGGCACGTGTCCGCGGGCGGGCGGGCAGGCACAGGCGGGCAGGCGGGCGGGCGCAGGTGCTGGCGGGCATCTCCTGGGGCTTGGAGGCCTCGGCTGGGGGCCTGGCCCCTCGCCGGATCTGCTGAGGGCCCTGGTGTCTGCGGCCGGCGTGGCTGGCCCTTGGCTGTGAGAAGGGCTGCCAGGAGTGGGGTGGGGTGCCCGCCACCAGACAACCCAGGCAGGGCCCCGTGGGTCCCACCTCCTCCACCTGCATCTGCCCCCAAGGCCTCCAGTGTGCTTTTCTATGAACTTTTTGAAGGTACCTCATATGCGTGGGTTTCCAAAAATTTTTCCTCCCCAAATTAAGCATATCTTTTCATTCCATTTCCTTGGATTTTCCAAAGCGTGCCCACAGCGTCCTGAAGGGAATAGATCCTGCGTTGCGGCACTGCCCGCGACTCACCGATGGACACTGCGTGGGCAGGGCCCAAGGACTGCATGTCTAGCAAATTCCCAGGTGGCGTGTTTCCTGGGAACCCTACTCTGAGAACCAGCACACCCCAGAATCTGACCCCACACTCGCCAAAGGCTGTAGCGCTGCGTTAGCGGAAGGCAGCAGTCCGTACCCTAGGAGGTGGGGAGGATGGCCGCACGGTCGGCTTATCCAGGGGCGGGGGGCTCCTCGCTGTGCCCCACCCCGCGATCGCACCTGCGTGGGCAGCACAGATCCCAAGACCATCCTGAAGGAGACGGCCCAGGTCTGCTCCACAGGGATGCACCCAGGATTAATTTCCTGATCTGCTCTGTTGGTTGATCCGTCATCGGATTCCAACGGGCTAGCCTGCCCCGATGACTATTGGACCAATTAAATGTCCATTTAAAAATGATTTCTATAGGTATTTTATGAAAATTAATACCTTCCTCCGTGGCAGGGCTGTTAGAGTGATTAATGAGGTAATGGGAAGTCCTGTGGGCCCCAAGGCAAGGTGCTATTTGTGTGCGTCCAAAATATATTTTCTCATTTCCTTAATGATGAAGACATTGAACCTGGATATTGATCTCGAATTAGCAAGGCCTGGGTGAGTGCGGCGTCCTCTTTGGTCCGTTCAGTGAGCAGAAGCCAGCAGCATCCTGCCTGGGGAAGTAAGGCATACCTGCCAATCAAGGCCTGCCCAGCCGCCCAGGCCAGTGAGTGAGCGTGAGAGGCGGGGATTCTGGCCCTGGGAGCCCCCAGGGGACTTCCAGTGTCCCCGCAGGTGAGCTGTTCTGTTCCACCAGCCTCCACCTGGTGGTGTCTTTGGGAGGCCCGGCTGGCAAGGACTGTGGGCAGTCCTTCTCAGCCAGCTGTCTGAGGGGACAGTCTAGTAACCTCTTCAGACCTTCGTGCGTTGACCTTCAAGTTCACCTGCAAGGACAGCAAAGCCAGATGAGAGATGTGTCCAGGAGAAACAGAAGGCTGCCTGCCAGTCCTGACCCTGCCGTGGCTTCCTTCCTGCTGCGAGTGGATGGTTTCCATTCCGGAGTACAGCCATCCCCGGTCTCTGGGTGGGGTTGCTTCCGGCTCCCAACCACCCCCGCCGGTGGTCGCTCAAATCCACACGCACAAATCCCTTACGCTCCGTGGTGTTCTATCTGCACAGGGCCACGCACACCTTCCCACGCACTCTAAGCCATCTCTAGGTTGCTTATAAGGCCTAGTGCTACGTATACGAATGTCACACCGTGTTGTTCAGGGAATCACTCTATACAGACACATTTTTTTTTTAACCAAGATTTGCAATCGGCATTTGGTTGACTCCATCAATGAATACAGGGCCCACTGTGTTCTGCCAAATTGACTAAACAGTTAGGTGAACAAAAGGCGGGGACATGGGGTGGGAGTCTGGGGGCGTGCTCCGGCCACAGTGGACCCCTTGTCTCCAGAAGGCTGCAGAAGGGGTACAGGCTGTAAGCCAGAGTACCCACAGGGCGGAGGCCCATGACCGGCTGCTGGTGGGAGGATTCGCCCGTCCTCAGATGGCTGCTTCAGCAGGGTCTACTCAGACAGTGAGCAACCCCAGCCATGGCCTGGGCATCCCCAAGCAGCACCGTCGGCCACCAGAACTCATCTCGGCCACGCCCCGGTTCCATGGAGCCAGGTGTCTCTCGCCTGTCCCTCTCAGGCAGAGCTGGAGCCCAGGCACAGGCCCACCCCGTTGGTCTGCCCCTGTACCCCTGGAAGTCGGCCCAGCGCCAACCCCTGCCCTTCCCACAGATCTACTACTGGGAGGCAGACAGCCAGAACGAGACAGAGAAGATGAAAGTCCTCTTCCTGCCCGAGCCCGCCGCGAAGCTCAAGGACCTGAGCAGCCATACCAAGTACCTGGTCAGCATCTCCGCCTTCAACGCCGCGGGGGACGGGCCCAGGAGCGAGCCCCGGCAGGGCCGCACCCACCAGGCCGGTAGGTGGGCGGCGGCGCATCCTCGCAGGCACGGGTCGCACCTGTCTCCTGCCCTTGCCCCAGCAAAGTGAATGGCTGCTCTCAGCTTCCCCAGCTCTTGGCTCTGCCTGTGCCATCCCGTGTGTCTCGCTGTGTAGCTGAGCGTTTGTGGACAGGACTGGGGTTGGCTTGTGGTTGCCAGCGTGTGGCCTCAGCCTGCTATGTGATGGCAAGAAATCCACAAGGGGCGGGGTGGCCAGACTGGAGCCACCGTGCTTCTCTGGGGGCCTCAGGTGCTGGGGGCGGGGGGAGCTTTGTGCCTGCAGCTCAGCCTCGTTCCCATTCAAGGGCCCATTCAGTGCCCCCAGGGGACTTCGCGTTGTCTCACTGCTGTGTCCAGACCCCTGGACGTGGGCTTCTTGTGTGTTGAGGCCAGGCCGGATGCCTGGCATTGTCCTGGGTTTCGGGTCCACACACGACCCCGAAACAGCTCCAGCTGCCTCTCAGACGCACACCACAGGCCGGTTCCTGGAGCAAGATGTTGGCTGTGCTGGCCAGGTGTCGTCCCCTCACACAGGGCGTGCCTGTGCTTGGAGCAGACCGCTCTTCCCATCTGGGTCCTGTGACTGTGGCAAAGCCACCCCCAGAGCTCCGGGGCCCTGAGTGAGATCCAGGAGGTCCAGGCAGGGAGGCTCAGGAGCCTGTGGACGCAGGTGCAGGGCTTGGGGCTCAGCCGACCAGCGGCACCCAGCATGGCAGGGGCCCCTAGCATCCTCACCACCAGGGCGGCTTTTTTTGTCTTTATCTGATGGCCAAGAGGGACCCGTTTTGGAATTGGAACTAGGAGGACCTGAGCAGACCTGTGGGGCAGACAGTAGCAAATGAGGGGCAGCTCGGGGCCCTGGGGCCTTGGCCTCAGGGACGGGAGTGGGAGTAGAGAGGGGAAGAGGGGGCACCAGTCAAGACGCACTTCTGAGCAGCAAGGGACGGCAGGTCAAGCAGATCAGAGCCCACCCGCGCTGACTGGTGGACAGCCCTAGTCCCTGCAGGGAGCCCCAGCAGAGGCTCAGCCCCGCCCCAGCCGCACGCAGGATCTGCCGTGTGCGCCAGCAGCTTGGGAGGCTCCTCCCTGTGTGCGGGCCAGCAGGGTCTGGGACCTCGCAGCCGGGGCGGGCAGGCTGCCCTCTGAGACCCGCAGGCCATCATGGGAGACAGGAGATGGGGAGAGGGACCTCACAGGTGGGGCGGGCAGGCTGCCCTCTGAGACCCGCAGGCCGTCATGGGAGACAGGAGATGGGGAGAGGGTTTACCCAACTCGGAGCTCTGTCCCTGCCCCAGAGAGCAGATCAGGAGCCTGTGGAATCCTCCAGCAGCCGCCGGGAACCGAGCTGTCTGCATTTCATTTTCCGCTCCCATCTATTATTCATTTTTACGCCTTTGTCATTTCGTCTCTCAAGCTCCCCCGTGCTTAAACACCATCGTTTGCTCAGGAGGGTCTGTGTTCCTGATTGAGCCTGGAAGTTCTGGGCTGATCGATAAATCTTGTTTTCCTCCTCTGACATTCGACTGGGACTGAGTTGGAAATAGCATCTAATGACGTTTTATTCCCTACGTGTGCCCTGTGAAGAGGCCTCTGGAAAAGCCACCGTGTGCTCTCTCCTTCCAGCTCCGGGGGCCCCCAGCTTCCTGGCCTTCTCAGAAATCACGTCCACCACACTCAACGTGTCCTGGGGGGAGCCCGTGGCCGCCAACGGCATCCTGCAGGGCTACCGTGTGGTGTACGAGCCCTTGGCACCGGTCCAAGGTAAGACCAGAGGGGTGGGTTAGGGCGCAGTGCTCAGAGCCTTCAGGGCAGGGCTGCCTGTCTGTTGCCCGCACCTGAGGCCCTCTGGAAACTCAGAAGGAAAAAGGACCTCATGAGAGAGGCCTGGAGCTGAGCCCAGACCCACCCAGTTCTGAGTCCAGGCCTGTGTTGTCTGCTTCCTGTGACCTCATCTCTCACAGCCACAGCGCCGCCTCCTGTTCCCGCTTAGGGCTTTGTCCTCGTAGTGGCCGACAGGGACCACCCTAAGCTCCTTGTGGAACAGTGGCCACACTGGTCCTTGAGTTGCCACAGTCCCCTGTGAGTCGTGGCCCAGGGTCAGCCTCCATCCGCTCATTCACTCACACACACAAATACTTTTAATCACCTGCTGTGTGCCCAGTACTGTTCCAGGTGCTGGAATCCATGGGCCCTGGAAAGCGAGGGTCTTGACTAACCTGTCCATCAAGATGTTGCTTTCCTGAACCCGGAGCGTTTGTGTTCCAGTGGGCAGAGAGGTGGGACAGAAGTGACCAGAGCAGATATCTGATAGTGCTGAGTGCCGTCAAGAAGAGGGACTCGGGCCGGCGCCGCGGCTCACTAGGCTAATCCTCCGCCTAGCGGCGCCGGCACACCAGGTTCTAGTCCCGGTTGGGGCGCCGGATTCTGTCCCGGTTGCCCCTCTTCCAGGCCAGCCCTCTGCTGTGGCCAGGGAGTGCAGTGGAGGATGGCCCAGGTGCTTGGGCCCTGCACCCCATGGGAGACCAGGAAAAGCACCTGGCTCCTGGCTCCTGCCATCGGATCAGCGCGGTGCGCCGGCCGCAGCGCGCCGGCCGCGGCGGCCATTGGAGGGTGAATCAACGGCAAAAGGAAGACCTTTCTCTCTGTCTCTCTCTCTCACTGTCCACTCTGCCTGTCAAAAAAAAAAAAAAAAAAAAAACAAACAAAAAACAAAGAAGAGGGACTCGGATGGTGGCAGAGCTCTGGGCACAGGCAAGGGACCTAAGTGACCAGAGGGACCCAGGCATGCACCACTCAGAGAGAACCCTCCCTGCAGAGGGCGGAGCCGACACAGAGGTCCCGAGGTTGGCAGGAGCCCAGAGCATGCTGGGCTGGGCATGGTTTTATTTGGGAATGGATCAGGAGGGACAGGATGTGACCAGGATCCTATGGCCAAATTCCACGGTCAAATGCTACAGGACGAGAAGATGACCGACCCCTCGGAACTTCCCAGAACAACCAAAAACAGACCCTCCAGAGAGGTGTCCAGGAAGTGTCGGTACAAAGGAGTTTGAGAAGATCCCTAGCAGGTGGCAGTGGAAGATGAGACACAGGTGGTTGGGGGCGAGAGGGCTGAGGGGACTCCCCTGAATCTCGGGCACAAGGAGGCAGGCCGGAGCGGCCGCCGTGTGCTGCAGGAGTGCCATGAGGAGGGCTGCTGGTCGAGGGGGAGAGGGGGCGTGGGGCAGAGCCCAGGGCGCGTGCCCGTGGATGGCTGTGAGGGTGAGGAGGAGCCGGGGGAGGCGCAGCGTCACTGGGGTTCACCTGGCGGCGACTCACCTGCATCGGGGTGGTCTCTGGGGCTGCCGTGTCCCTCGCTCGGGCCCCAGGTTCCTGATGTGTCCAGTGCAGGCCCGAGGGGTGTTTGCCTCTCACCTGCTGCTGTGCCCAACCATCCAAGCACCAAGCCGCATGCAGACGGCTGTAAAATGACGGACTCCTCACTGTCCTGGCGGAAAACAGAGAAGCAGCACGTCCCAGGTACTGGCCTCCGCCGCGCTGATGGGGGTTCCAGAGGACAGGTGAAGCGCCTGACTGGAAGAACGCGCACGCCCTTGGTTTTATTCCACTGCACCTGAGATACCATCGACCGTAGGATTCATCATTACTTTCTGAAGCCGTAAGCAGAACACTATGGTCCAGTACTTTGGAGTCACCAATTCAGAGCTGCTTCCCAAATCAGAAACGTGAAAACATGAGAAAGAAAGGCATCTGTGGTCTGGGACAGCCGATGAACTTTGGTAGATAACGCTGGCGGGAACAGGTGCACCTGGCTTGTAAAACGGCCCCAAGGCCCAGGCAGCACGCTTGGCGTGGCCCCCCGTACCCTGCCGTGGGCTTCTCGGATGCCAGCACATACCAGCAGCAGAGGCTACGGACGAGGTGTGCCCGTTCTCCTTGCACCACCGGCAGGGAGACATGGCACCGAATTCCCAGAGACCTGACGTTGTGTTCACCAGTGTGCTGGTCCTTACTGTGATGCGCATGTGGACACACACACACACACACACACACACGGGTTGCCACTGCCCGCATTGCAATCCCCTCTTCCAGGGTATTATCCAACCAGAGTCGTTCAGATGAGAAACGGTTGACAAGAGCAGGTTCTGGTGGAACTCCAGGCCCTCAGTCGTCAGAGGCAGATCCAGCTTCCCCATTCAGGTGGCCCACAGCTCAGAATGGTTCGACTTGCAGCTTCCCGATGACGGTGCCTACACATCCAGCAGAAGCCACACCGGGAGTTTTGAGCCTCGGTCTTCCCCTGGCAGGAGACCCGTGGTCCGACCCACGCGGCCGCAGTCACAGCTTGAGTAGGCTTGACCAGGCACGGTGAGACCCTGCGGTTGCTGCTGTGGACCAGGTATTCTGTAGGCTTGGTGCGCGCCATGCATTCTCCACTGTGGTCTCCTGAGACGTGGCCCCACCACCTGTTCCTCTGATGGTGGCCGCCTCTGCCTCCTGACCTTTGTGGGACAGTGGCCTTGCAGAAGCTCTGGGCCTGTGTACCGGGCTGCTGCTCTTAGTGTCAGGCGAAGGCCTCGTGCCCCAGGCAGGACCAAGCGCTGATCCCTGCTCGGCTGGGAGCCCACACAGGGCGCTCCGGAAGCTCCGCGACAGCTCTCCTCCCCTCCCGGAGAGCCGCCTCTGGATTTCTGGACAGCCTGTCCCTGCCCAGTCCCAGGCGCACGCCCTGCACCCTGGGTTCCCCCGTCGCCAGGCTGTGGTTCTTGGCTCATTTTCCTGATACTGTTTGCATCACTGAGGAAGTCATGGGACATTTGGAGGATGTTGGACAGTCCTGTCCCTCATCCAGGTCTAGCATAGCCATCTGAGAGCCCCTGTGAGTGGGAGCCCCCCGACACACACAGGAAATAATGACAGCAGGTAAAGTCTCCTGAGTGCTTAACAGCTACAAACCAAGTGCTGCGCAAGGCTGCCGGGGCTGCACCCCCACCTGGAGCACCCCCATGGACCACCCTCCACCTGGAGCACCCCCCACCTGGAGCACCCCCATGGACCACCCTCCACCTGGAGCACCCCCCACCTAGGCCACCCCCATGGACCACCCTCCACCTGGGGCACCCCCATGGACCACCTCCACCTGGAGCACCCCCCACCTGGAGCACCCCCCACCTGGAGCACCCCCACCTGGAGCACCCCCATGGACCACCCTCCACCTGGACCACCCCCATGGACCACCCCCATGGACCACCCTCCACCTGGAGCACCCCCCACCTGGACCACCCCCACCCAGGCCACCTCCCCCCCAGGAGCAATCTTCACTGAAAGATACCCGTCTTGGAGAATGGCAGCACCCAGACCAGTGAGCCACATTCTTGAGAATCTAATTTTATGGAAGAGCTCTCTTTACGTTTTTCAAAAACGTTTTACACAGTAGTATTTTATAGGATTGCACCTTGTGGTTTTGCAGTGCAGGGCATGGTTTAAAAATTGATGAAATAAATAAAATCCTGACACCCTGGAGGTGGGGAAGGCCAGCCCGACTCCTCCTCCTGGTGGGATGGGAGCTGCCCGAGCCGTGTGTGGGAGTCCTTTAGCCCTGGAGAGAAGGCCGGTGCTGTAGACAGGCGAGCAGAGCCGCTCTCCGGAGCCACGTGGCGCTGGGCAGGGTGCGCTTCATTCATGAGCAGCCGTCTCGGGGTGTTGCACTCAGCGTCCCCAGAGCCTCTTCCTGGAGCTCCGTGAGCTCAGGGTCACCCTGGCTGCGTCGAAGGCACAGCAGTGGCCCAGGGCACTCTGCAGTGACGTGGAAGGCAGTAACTTGGCTGTTCTGTAAAAGGCGTGGCGTGAAAACTGGAAGGTGTTTCCGAGCCCTGTCGGCTTAGGGCTGTGAGAGGTGGGCGGATCGCACAGCAAGAAGGCTCTTTGTCCAGCTCCACTGAAGCCAGACCCCCCGCTCAGCCCACCCGGGACAGGAGGCGCAGCTGCGTGGAAGACAAGCACTGTGACCACCAAGTCTCGGGACCTCCGCGGCCCTGTGTCCTGCCAGAGGCCTGAGAGCCACCCGTCCGTGGAAGGCTCCGTGCAGCCGAGAGCTCACCTGGCTTCCATCAGACCAGTCAGCCACAGAGCCGCATCTCGTCCTCGCGGGGCGCGCGGACTTTGTAACGTTCAGTGTGTATCCACCTAAAATCTCCATCTTTCCGTCATCGAGTCTCCCTCCCCCTCCAGCCTCCCTTCCTGTGGTTTTGGTTTCTTCTGTCAACTCCACGCAAAGATGCTAAGTGGACAGTCCCAGAGACAAAACACGCATACGTCTAAGCAGTGCGATGAGGCCTCACGCTGCCCTGCGTGACCCCTCGGCCACTCGTCCCTGTGCCCTGTCATTCAGGCACTCACAGCACGGTGCTGTGTGCCGGGACTCTCCCTTTACTTGGGAATGGCCCCACACAGCAGCAGCAAAGGAGGCACCTGCTGTGACCTGGGAGGACAGGCGAACTCTGGGCTGTGTAGCAGCCTTGTGGCAGACGGGAGTAGCAGCCGTGGGGGGAGAGGGGGTTCCGTGCTGTCCGAGGTTCCAGGCATCCACAGGCGTCTCGGGACATAGCCCCTGCAGATGAGGCGACCCCCCCTGCCCCACTCAGTACAACCAGCAGCGCCGTCACGGTCCACACTCACACACACTCTTTTCTCTGAGCATCTGCGGAGTGCTCTTTGTCCTTGCTTCAAGGTCACATTGTTGGAAGTCTGCAGGCCGCAGGCTGACCACCCAGTCGGGCCACAGACCCCTCCCCAGAGAAGCCCACCCATCACTAAATCAAGAGTCTTTCCTGTGTTTCTTCCGTACCCTTCCCTCCCTTATGACTGAGCGAGCGGTGACCACCTGTGCCAGTGACACAGGGCCCTGCAGAGCTGAGTCAAGTGGCAAGGGGACCCTGACATAGAAGCAGGCAGGCCGGGCCCCTCCCCACAAGGCCCCCTGGCCGGGCCCCTCCCTCTTTGTTGTAAGCTTTGGCTCTTTGTCAGGATCCACGTATCAAATTTAAATTCTGATTACACTTACCTGTGCTGCAAATGGGCTCTCCCCACCCCGAGCGCCTCCTCACTATAAGGACCCCTCCTTGGCTTCTGACTTAGCATGACGACTAGTGCCTCCGCTCTTGGTGGTTGCAGGGGTGAGCAAGGTGGTGACGGTGGACGTGAAGGGGAATTGGCAGCGCTGGCTCAAGGTGCGGGACCTCACCAAAGGAGTGACCTATTTCTTCCGTGTCCAAGCCCGGACCATCACCTACGGGCCGGAGCTCCAGGCCAATGTCACAGCCGGGCCAGCCGAGGGTAAGTGCGGGGCTGCGGGCAGATCCCTGGGGCCAGTGGCCGTGTGCACTGTCGCTTCGGCTTCACCACGTTGAGAATTTGCCTACACTCTCAGCAAAGCGGCTTCAGTCAGCTCAGACCGGTGACGTGGAAGTCCTCAAAGCACACGTGGATATGAACTCACGCAGGTGTTGTAATTACCTGTAGACATGCCAGGGCACATAAGTGACTTCAATTTCTGAAATAAATAAGACATAGATGTCCCACGTGTCGAGAAGAGAAGGAGCGTGGAGCTCCCAGCTCAGCACGCAGTGCGGGCCTTGCTGCGACACTTGGGGAGGTGCGGGTGGCAGAACCCGCGTCCTGAGCCCTGGGCATGGTGCCAGGTGCCTGTGCCACCTCCTCTGTCCTCTGACAGCCTCGTGTGGGGCCGCGTGAGGCAGAGCAGCCTGCCAGAGCCCTGGACGCGTGGACAGAGCAGAGGCCACCCTGCAGGTGCACTGTCAACCCGGCCTCCCTCTCTCTTCCTCCAGGGTCACCAGGGTCCCCGAGAGATGTCCTGGTCACCAAATCTGCCTCTGAGCTGACTCTGCAGTGGACCGAGGGGAAGGCTGGCTACACACCCACCATGGGCTACATCATAGAGGCCAGGCCCTCAGGTAGGAGGGGCAGGGCCTGTGGGCTGCCCTGGCCCTGGGCACCAGCTCCCGTGGCTAAAATGGGGCACCCTCCAACCGGCCGTCCAGCGGGGCTGGAGAGCGTGGCTAAGGCCTCGGCATCGCCCGCCGTGGCCTCTGGCTCAGCAACGCCGAGACAGGGTGGGAGGTCCCCGCCCCGCCCCCTCTACTTTCACAGCCACCGCCGACGTGGGGGCACGACCGTTGCCATTCTCAGAAGTAAGTAGATGGGAACTCAAGGGCACACAGAGACGTTTGCAGCTCATCAGTGAGATCCAGGCGTGCTTTCTGGGACTGCGTCTCGTGGCCCCAAATGTTGGCCCCGTAGTCGGGAGAAGGCGTGCTCGTTCCGGATAATTCTGAATGTTCTTGGTGGTGAGACTGACTCCTCACCTGCTTCGTCTTCAGGCCTCTGAAAGTGAGGTCTAGGATCCTCGTCCAGCCCTAACCACCCAGGGAAGCTGCAATTTTTACTTAGTTTCATTTTATTCGGAGGACAGAGAGAACAGTTCCATCTATGTATTGGTTCACCCCCAGATGCCTCCGTCCAGGTCTCCCACGTGGTTGGCAGGGACCCAGCTCCTTGAGCCGTGCCCTGCTGCCTCCCAGGGTGCGTGTTAGCGTGAGGCACGTCGGCAGAGGGCCCCACGTCCGGGAGGGTCAGGGGCTTTCTCTGACTGCTGGGCTCCCCGCCCCCTCTGAAGGCCAGGGTCCCCCAGAGCAGCCAGTAGGCTCCCCACGGCGGCTGACGTGAGCTGTGAGTGGACAGTCCTGGAAGACTAGGCCCACGGCGAGGAGCTGTGGGGGCCGTGCTCACGGGCTTCCCTCCCCAGAGGGCGAGAGCATTTCTAAGAGGCGCCCCTGGCAACTGCTGGCAGGGTGTGCCGAGAGCGTGTCCCCAGGGCTCTGTGTTCTGATGTGGTAGAGTCAGGTCCTCGGTGTGGGGAGATTGAGAGGGGGAGGGGGGATCGGGACGTGGGGGATTCATGCTGGTCCCGAGGAGGGCGTGAGTTCTCAGCAGAGTGAGCTGTTGTAACAGAGCAGGGCTGGCCCTCCCTGTCCCTGGCTTCCTGTCTCACTGTGTGACCTCTCCTCACACACACGTCGACCATGATGTCGTGCACCATGTTGCGATGTGGCCACAGGGCCCTCACCAGAACTCGGTAGATGCTGGAGTCATGGGTGTGTTTTTTTTAAGTTTAGGGTTCTTTTTAAATGTATTTATTCAAAAGGCAGAGTGACAGAGAGAGAAAGAGAGAGAAATCCTCCAACTACTGGTTCATTCCCCAAATGCCCACAGCAGCCAGAGCTGGGCCAGACCAAAGGCAGGACCAGGAGCTCCATCCGGGTCTCCCCACATGGGCAGCAGGAGCCCCCGTACTTGAGGAAGATGGCCCGCAGGTAGAGCCAGGCGTCCTGAGGAGTATTTCACCTGCTGCTCCACAGTGCCCACCCCGGAGTCACGCTCTTGAATCCCCGGAACCGTGAGCTGAATGAACCTCTTTTCTTTATGCGCACTCAGCTTCAGGTATTTTGTGACAGCGACAGAAAATGGGCCAACACAGGTTCATGGGTAGAATCCAGGGCATCCGGGAACTCGGATGGGAAAACCAGGTTCCGTCGGGGTCGCTGACTGAAATGTCGCATGCCCTCAGTCACACATAGTGTGCCTGCTTAGTAGCACCGCAGGGAGGACCACAAAGTAGGTCTTTCAGACAGCAGGCCCTCTGTTCCGGAGGCCGGAAGTCCAAGGTCACGGTGTTGGCCGGGTTGCCTCCTCCTGTGACTGTGAGAGGACCTTGTTCTCTGCCTCTCTCCCGCCCTCTGGTGGTCACTGCGCGTCCTCGGTGTTGGCGTGTGGACGCATCTCCTGGTGTCAGGTGTTGGCGTGTGGACGCATCTCCTGGTGTCCAGGTGTTGGCGTGTGGACGCATCTCCCGGCTGGGCCCTCAGTGTCCTGCCGTGATCCCCCCGTGTCCAGGTGTCTCAGTTTCCCCTTTCATAAGGACATCTGTGACATTGGGTTAGGGCCTCCCCCCACCCCAGTACGGCCTCGTCGGAACTAATCATGTCTGTAAGGACCTTTGTCCAAGTAAGGTCATTCCGAGGTGCCGGGGGTTCACACTGCAACCCAGGAACTTGCTTGGAGGAGGGGCCAGGGTTCAACACTAAGAGCAGGAAGGAAGCCCCCAAGCCGCGAGAGGACCTGTGCTGCTGTCACAGACGCACGCAGGGGCCACACGCGCGGCTCCGAGACCCCGTGTGTGAGATTCCCTGCCAGCTGCGTCACTTCACGAGTCCGGGAGGGAATGCAGACTGCGATGCTGGCGGTCACAGGTCACGCAGACCCAGCTCTCCCCACTCACCTCCCGAAGACCCGCACCACTAAGCAAGTGGCGCACAGAAACCACCCACCGCGCACACCTGCGCCTCAGCGGGGGCAGAGGTCGCCGGAAGCTCCTGTCGCTTCTGGCCGGTTGTGAGCATTGCCAGCCTAATCGGCTTCCTTTTGACTTTGCTTCACGCATCTGCGAGGCCGTCCTGAGGAGCCTGTGGGCTGCCCGGGGAGTGGACGGCTTCCTTGACCCGAACCCCTGCCTCCCTGACTAGGGACTGAGGCCCAGGGCAGCCAGGCCGCCACCTGCAGAGCCGGCATCCCGCAGGGCTGCGAGTGTGCGTACCAGCTGCTCCACTTCCGCTTTAGCTCCCCACTGTGCACCTGGCAAGGGCTGGAGGCCCTGGCTCCTGGATGTGGCCTGGCCCAGCCCTGGCCGCTCTGGTCATGTGGGGAGTGAACCAGCACACGGATGACCTCTTGGTCTGTTTTTCTCCTTATCTCTCTGTAACTCTGACCTTCAAATACATAATAACCCCTCCAAAATAAAACAAAACCAAAAATACAGAGTACTTAATAATTTTCTCAAAATAAAAAGTGTAGCTTAAAATAGTAGTTTTGTAGAAGCTAAGAGTGGCCTCCTCGCACTGTTTGGTCTTAGAAGTGAGCGCCGCGGGCTCTGAGGGTCCTTCAGGGGTGAGAACGCATCGCCCACAGTTATGGCGCCTGCCCCGGCTCTTTGCACGGTGGCCACCCGTGGCCTCCCTAGGGAATGCTCGGGCCACAGTCCCTGGTGTGCTGGGGAGCCAGGTCGTGTGCGGTCCTGCCCCTGACGCAGGCACGGGCAGCTTCAGGGGCAGCTCATGAGCCTGTTATTCGGGTTGCACACGGGGCCCCACACCGCCCTGGGGCTTGGCCCAAGGTGGAGAGGCTTCAGCTGCTGTCTGTGCTCAGTGGGGTCAGCGCCCCAGCATGCACACTGACCCCCAGGGGCCAGACGGGGTGAGAAAGTGGCCGTGAGAATGCTGCCTTTCGCAATGAGTGCTCTCAGTGTCTGGTAGCCGCTTGCCCACGGTCTACCCTTTGGGTGTTAACTGAAGCGGAGCGGTGCAGGGCCCAAGGTGTCTCAGTGAACATCGGAGAAGACAGCCCTCCCTCTGAGCCCCGGGCCAGCGGCGCACCGTCCAAGACCAGGCTTCTGCGCACTGGCAGTATTTAAACGCGAGCCGGTACCCGGGGCTCCAGGTCTCAGTCGCCGTCTATTTCAGGCCTCATTACACAAAGCATCAAATGCTGTATCATTTTGTTTTCTCCACCTAAACTGGCAAGATGTTCTCCAGGCGAGGGAGGGGTGCTCGAGGTGTTTCGAGCCCTGTGATACCCACGGGGACCCCTGGGGAGCCCTCCCTGCTGCACGTCTGGGGAGACCGAGGCCCTCTGTTTGGGGCCCACCTGGTCTGCTCGGCTGAATCTCCATCTTGCCCTGGGAGAGAAGCCGCTCACTGCTGCTGCCCAGAGAGTGGCTCACCGGCTCGGGCGGCCGGGCAGGTGGCCGTGCGACCTCGCCGCCTCACCTGAACCCCTGCAGACCCTACCCCAAAGCTCTCAGCGCTGCCCTGATGTGGAGACCCAGAGCCAAGCAGCAGCTAATGGAGTTAGCACGGGGTGGCCACACGAGCGGCCTCCAGCCTTGCAGAGGGTGGTCTGTGAGCACGGGCCGCGACCTCACCGCCAGACCCCGCCAGGGTGGCCAGGCCAGCACCTCGTCTCCTGGGTCTGCACTGGCTTCCTCCAAGTCAGAGCTGGAAGGCAGTGGAGACTGTGCAATGGATTTATTTACACAAATTATTCTGAGGCGTTTTACTGTGTAGATCACGGAGCCTCATTTACATATTTACACAATAGACCGGAATGGCACTAAAGGAGCTATAAATATATTTTCCTCTCCAAAGCAACCATGAAATACATATTTAGGGTGTACCCTAGGCAGGCAGACATTGTATTGCTTTTCTTTTTACAAATAGCTCTGTAGCCCAGAGACGAGAGCTGGCGGATGGGGGCCTGTCCCTCCGTCCATTCGTCTGCTCGGGGTGCTCAGTGTCCACTCCCAGTGGCCTGGAAGTGGCCCAGCGCCCTCCCCATACTCACTTGGTTCTTTGACAACGCGAGTTCTCAGTTGAACAAAGAAGGAAATCAGCATTTCCTGGGAGGTCTGGCACTGCCGAGAGCCCCCAGTTGGCAAGTCCAGTGGGTGGGCTGCAGCCGCAGGGCCCCGTCCCCCTCCTGCTTCCTCGTGAGCACAGCTGGCGACAGCGTGCCCACCTGGGAGTCCCGCTCCCTCCCAGGCCCTCGCGGGGCAGGGGACACTGCCTCTGTCTCCTGCCCTGTGCACGGGGAGCAGGCCAAAGGTGTATTGTTTTTTTTAATCAGATATAGTCATTAACCTCGTGTGGAAGCCTGCACCTGCTTCAGTTAAACATCCAAGCGAGGTGCACCATTTATACGTAGAGAAACGTTCAGAAATACACAGCTGAGCGGAGCGTGTCTTCCCGGAGCCGCGGGCTAGCAGCAAGTTGTTGTTGGTGTGAGAGAGTGGACGCGGACGCCTCGCGGTGACTGGCAGTTCCATTCAGCATGCACACCTGCT